CCCCTGGCAGCCATACACCCAAAGAATCTGGGATGTTTGGGTGAAAGTGTTGCCTCAGCCCCTGGCATCCATATATCCAAAAAGAGTCTGGAATGTTGAGTGGAAAGTTCCAGCCCAAGACCCCTCCCCTGGGAGTTGCCTCAGTCCAGGCTACACTTCGAAGCCCGCCAACAGTGACCCCTCCCCAGAGATGCTCAAGACCACTCCCACAGGATATTTAAACTGTCTCATAGGGAACAAACACATGGTTTCCTGGTCTTCCTTCCCCATACCTTCTCTGGGGGCTGGAATGTTACCCAGAAGCACTGGCGTCCATTCAACCTGAACTTTTTCTAATTTGGTTTGAGGTGGTCTGATTTGGATTCTTGTGTTGGCAGAGAGGTTTATCAGGCTGAAAAAAAATTTTCACTGACATTCCAGATTTTGTTGATGATCAAGACCAAAGTAATTTCTTCTGTCTTCCTGCTGAAATTTAGGTGATATGTTGGGATGCAGGAGGATTGGATTGATGATTGAAGAACTAGTGAGGAATGTAGACTGGAAGAAGTGTTTCCCTACCTGCTTGCTGGCCTGGTTCTGGGAGACCACCTGGGGCTAGTAAAGTACAGACAGATTTGGAGCCAAACATCCGAGGTTATATAATCAGAAGCTGGGGGAAGTGAAATGGAAGCCCAGCCCCTGGGAGGGAGAGGTTTAGGGTAAGGGTTGAGGGGCAAAGTGTTAGAAGAAGCTAGAGTTACTGAGACTTGTCCTGGGTTTCTTTGTGATGTGGCAAGTAAGAGATATTAAAGTCTTGAAATATGAAATTAGTTGATACTGAATTAGGTATTTGATACCTAGTAAACACTCATACACTATCAATTTTATGTTGTGATGACACATAAACAAGCTTTTCACTGTTGACACAATTTTCCATTTGCTGTCCCTTCTGACTTCCTGAAGGGGCTGTATTCCGATACTGACATTATATAAGAGCTTCTTGAGGATGGCTTCCTTATTGGTCTTCCGTTTAAGCTGCCAAGCTTAAAAACAGAATAACTTTCCAGCTGATACTATCCAAGATAGGTGACCTTCCTTGTTATAAGGCAAGGTTTGTGGTCCTGAGCCTCTTGCAATCAATGTTCATCCAATGCTAATCAAGCCCTCCTTCATACATGGCAGGCCCCATTTAGTTTGAAACATTTGATTTTGTGGCTTCTGTTCCAGTAAGGTATCTCTAATTTTTTCATTAAAATGTTATCTCATTTTATAACATTGATAACAATGTTATCAAAATAACTCAGTCTGCTTTTTCTTATTCTTATTCTTATTCTTATTCTTATTCTTATTCTTATTCTTATTCTTATTCTTATTCTTATTCTTATTCTTATTCTGGGGCAGTTCCTGGCTTGCTTTATACCAGAGCCGTGGTGTTCCTCTCCTCCTGGTTTCTGTGCAGCTACTACATAGAGACTCAGTGGATATGAGAATCTTGCCTGAGTTCAGTCGATCATTTATCTCATAGGGATTTGTTTTAATAAGAGACCAGAACCAAGGAGTGTCATTCAGAATCTTCCTATAAGATACTGACACCAAAAAAGAGAAGAATTTGCTTTTTTCTTTATTTGTTCATGCATCATTTTTAATTACACATGAGTATGTGCCTATGTGAATGTGAGTGCAAAGAGGCATGAAGCCTCAGGTCTCTGAAGCTAGAGTTACAGGCAGTTGTGAACTGCTCAGTATGGGTGCTAGGAACTGATCTTTCTTAGCCTCTAAGGCCATTTCTCCAGGCCTCGGTTTTGTTCTTAAATTCATAGCTATGAAGGTATAGGCCTGATTCTCCTGGGCAGAGGAGCATGACTTATAAGGAAAAAAAAAAAAAAAAAAAAAAGGAGCAGGAAAAAANAAAAAAAAAAAACAAAGAGGAGAGATAGGCAGACCCAAGAAAGAGGTAAAGGGTAAGAAGCAGGACGTTTATTATTGAGGCATGGATAGCGTCTGCTTTGGACTTGACTCATTTTCTCTTTAAAACTTGGAACCCGCTGCTGGTTTTGATTACTTGCAGCAGAAAAAGAGAATCCCTTCAAATCATGCTGTGGATCGAAGGAGGTTAAACTGCCCCTTGGTCACACTGTTACTTCTTCGGTGTGGGTTGACCACACACTGTGTTCTCGGCAATGAGGCGCTTCTGGGAAATGAAGGGCACCGGTGACATTGAGCTCAAGTGCAAGTTTTTAGTGGAACTCTTTTTTTAGGTTTCTCGGAGAAAATGCACGGGCCAGGTGAGGACTGGATTCTGAATCGTCATGCTACAGGGCACGCCCATGTGCAGCCCCTCCACGTGTCTCCGCCCCTGTGGCAACCAGTCTGCCTCTCGCTCTTCCACACCTTTTACTTTTTTTTTTTTTTTTAAATTAGGGTGCAGTTAATAAACAAATGCTCACGGGAAGCTTCCAGGTAACAATAGGATTCTTTGAAATGATGCTCATATGTTTTTCCTTTCTGTAATCTAGTTTAATGAAAATATATAGGCTGTAGTCCCTTGTGTGATTATTTCCTTTTGGGTATTGTAGGTTTCATCATTCAAGTGAATGAAAGAAACTTGGTCCCTTATACAGACTCAGTACAGGTAATATCTGTATGTGTTAGTCACTTTTGTTGTCCCCATGACTAAATACCAGAGAGAAACTAATGCATAAAGAAGGAAAGTTCACTTTGCTCACAGTTTTTGTGGCGTCAGTTCATGGCTGGTTGGTCCTGTTGCTTTGGTCCTATGGTGATGCAACATTGTGATGTGTATGGGGTAAAAACCCATTGACCTCGTGGTTAAAATGTGAGAAAGAAAAGGAAGGGGCTGGAGATCCAGTACCCACTTTCAAGGGAGCTCAACAACATCCACCAAGCTTTGTCACCTCCTAACACACCATACTGGCTACTAAGCCCTTTCCACTTGATCCTCTATGGGATGCTTGTCTAATTTATACTAGAATATAAATGCTAATCTAAGGTAAAGCTTAATGTTGACAACATGATAGAAAGGTTAAGGCTGAGTAAATGGTTTGAGTTTTATTAGTAACTATTTATTAGTCACCTTTATTCACCCACATAACCAAAGTAGTTAAGAGGATGGTTATTGGGCCCACAAGGTCTCATAACTGGAGCAGTGTAGGAAAGGCGCCCTATAGCTGAGCTGATAATTTGAAATCCACTTTTACTTCTTGGAATTTTTCCCATGGAATAATAATGTGTGTGGGGAAAGTGGGAGATGGTGGGGGTGAGGGTGAAAAATATTGACACAAACCTCCAAGTTCATTCTGAGGATAAAAATCAGGTCAGGAAAGCTGAGTGAGTAAGAGATAAATCTCTGTCTGAGGACCAAGAGAGCAAAGTGTTATATAAGCAAGAGAATGTGAGTTCAAATCCCCAGCATTCATGCTGGAAAAAAATGGCTAGGTGCGGTAGCATGGGCAGGATTCTAAAACTCGGGGTTACTTCTCTGTAGGAAAGCTTAGAAAGGTGTGGAAGAAAACATCCAAAACAAGTGACGAGATTTCAAAAACCATACTGGTACTGGTATCCACTTGTAGCATTCAACAACCCCGCTGTAAAATCCAGTCTCTGCAGGGAAGGGGAAAGGGGAAAGAATACCTTGTGTTCTCTCTTTCTGGAAAGAACCTCAACCCTACACAGCAAGATCGAAACCTGTGTTAGGAATACACATATGAGACTTCATATCCAAATAAACACATGGCTCAGTGTCCGATGATCCCTGGGATGTGAATAAAAACAGTACGTCCAGTCTGGTGTCTAATACGTTTACTTCCCAGCAGCATAATACCACTTTGGTCAGGTTGAACCACTGCACAATTTTGCAGCTCTTTCGTAAAAACAACGAAAACAATTGGAAAGACACGATGTACATGCAATGCAATGGGGGGAGGGGGGACGGTACAATTGGCCAATCCTTCCCTATAAAGATGAAATAGCCTTGGTTCATCTCTGCACTGTGTATGTAGAAGCCCTTAGAGCAGGGGTTTTTGTTCTTTCGGTTTTTTGTAGCACCAGATAGACACAGTGGCTGACAATAAATACGTCTGAAGTCATTGAAACGTTTTCACAAATAGAAATTTTCTGGATCTGAAACCTGGATGCCTGTCCCTGGCTTGAAGTACTGTTCATAAATGGATGCTATGAAGTAAGATTCAGTTCTCACCCTGTTTTGTTTTGATTTCTGATGCGATTTGTTGACTATCATGAGTTGTAAGTTACTAACATCTTTTATTTGCTACTTTGCAAATTCAGGGTATTTCTATATGCAACGACTCATCCATTTGAATATACTAGTGCTCCCACAGCCCACAGATCATGGTTAGGCACATGAACTATTGTGTCAGACTTCATGGGTTCAAGCCCCAACTCCACCAGCTAATCAGGTGACCTTGGCAAAGTGATGCGGTCTGTGCTTTCGTTTTCCTGTGTGTAAATCGAGCCTAGTGAGTAGAGCTGTCGTGGGGAGGTGTTTGGGAAAGCATTCGGCACAGAAGCTGCAGCCTGGTAAGAACTACTGCATGGTTAAGACTGTCACAACTGCCTATGTCACTGGGTTGTAGCTTTGCTTTATGGCTAAACTATGTGGCACATTTAAGGGGTATTTCAGAAAAGCAAGCTCACGTAAATTACGCAGGAAATATTTCATGTCTCCCATGAGGAGAGGGTTTGTTGTTTTTCTAACATGTGTGAAGGGGACCCAGGGATTTTGACCAGAATACGTGCTAAGGAGTCCCTCACCATGAACGTTAGGATGGCATTACATTTGCCTTCTTTCCCAATGCATTTGCAGAATCTAGCATGCACCAGCTACACACGAATATCTGTTAAATAAATAGATCCATGGAGACGTTTTGGGGGGTGACATGGGATCAATCTGAAGCTCAGGTACATTCTAGGAATCAAGGATGAAGAAAGTGGTCATGGAAAGCAGAAAGTTTAGAAACGATGTTTTCATTGACTGTGGACTGCTTTAACGAATAGAAATATCACAGGAGAATTTAATATGCTTGACAAAAAACTTTTTTTTTTCAAAAAGAAGCTAAAGCATGTTCTTCTGTAAACTTTGGAAATGAAGTTCCATATTTGAAGCACCCATGCCAAGTTGTCCAAGTGCTTTTGTAAGGAACTGGGGAGATTTTTTCCTACTCCTATAAATTTCTGTAAATCTGAATTCCCAAGCATTTCCCCTGACTTACAGACACTTAAATCTTTGAGATAGTTCTTGTAATTTGATTCCAGATCCTATCTTAGAGAAAATCCTGGCTCTGACTTTGACACACGAAATTCTTGTGCCAATTAATATGCTAGCCAAGTCAAAATTAATTCATATATCCCTTCTTGAATCATTCATTCATTCAACAAATAGTCATTGAGTGCCCCACAGTGTGCCAGTCCATCCACAGGGCTGCAGTCACATCCCTTGGTCTTATTTGGGATCTAAATAAGGACAGAATGTTGGGGGTGGTCTTACTCAAAAGGTTCCCTGAATCCTCAGGGAATGATCTTTATCTGTGTCACAATTTTGTCGGAAGCTCCTCTTTTATTTTATTTTATTTTTTTTATCTTTTTTTTTTTTCGAGACAGGGTTTCTCTGTGGCTTTGGAGCCTGTCCTGGAACTAGCTCTGTAGACCAGGCTGGTCTCGAACTCACAGAGATCCACCTGCCTCTGCCTCCCGAGTGCGGAAGCTCCTCTTAAATATCATCTATGAGTGCTTAAAAGCAAAGCCATGCTAAAAGGTGAAAAATCCAGGCACTCATTCACACACCTATAGATAGTAATAGATGCAGAAAGCAAAGTACCACGTTTGGTGCCCTGGACGTTCACCCACATAAAGGAAATAGAATCAGCTTGGTGTCACGTTTGAGAACCTCATTTGTAAATGGGTGTAATTTGTCTCTAAGTTCTTTAGATACAAGCTCCAGTTTTTAACAAGCCCCTGGATGCTAGACTTTTCATTTAGATCTTAGCATAGTCTTAAGAGATAGTGATGGCTCTCACCACTAGAGAGTTCCCTATTGATTACATGATTGAGGAAGACAAAGTCTGTTATTCTTCCAAAGTCGATTGTAATTTAGGCTCATTATCCCCTTGCAGTTGTCCCGTTGTAAATGGTGACAGAATCAAAATGGAAATGCTCCAATGAAGAGGTTCAGTGATTCCTTTACCTTCTGGGCTTGCCTCAGAAATTGCAGCAGGGAAAACGTGCAGAAGAGGTTTGTTGCACTGCCTAACCACCTTGTCCCGGGGAAAGAACTGAGATTCACTTCATCAGATCCCTGTTGAGAAGTCACAGCCGTTTCTCCCTAACTGTTCACACAACATTTCTTATATTTGTGTTGAACGGAATGGAAGAGTAGTCTATTCTGCCTTTTTCTTTGAACGGATGACATCAGCCATGGCAATGGCTCTATATGTGATTCTTTAGAAATAGAGAATGTCAGGCCAAATTGTGGTAGATTTGTCCTTCCTTTTCCGTCTTGCTTCAATGAAACTTCAGAGACCCATCGGTGGCACTGTAAGTCTTTGAGGATGTCACTTGTGATCACAATTTTAGGGAAATGCTTGCATTTCAACAAGCTGAACTTCACTGAAGTAAACCAGCCATTTGTATGTGAATCCCACTAAGACATATAACCTATCCTTGGCTTCTGTTCGTATGATGGATTGCTTCATCTCAACAAACAACCTGGTATACATTTATCAGCACGACACACTGTACGAATGAAGCATAAAATACAGAGACTTCTAGAAAACAACAGTGGAAAGCATCTGCTTATTTCATAGCTGTTTCTGACAATACTCGTATTGATGGGAAACCATATGTTGATTTCGAGATTAATTAAACGTTTAACAGCTACGTGAAAACATATTCATCTTAAGCTCCAAATTTATACAATGTACTGAAACTCATTGAATTGACCATTTTCTCACTGTAAGGGTAAGATGACTTCCTTTTATGAGAGTGTTGTGGCATCTTCTGAATAGCTTTAATATTTCTTTGTTAAATGATAACTAAAATATAGGTTTATTATTTTTTCTTATAAAAATGAAAACTATCTTTCAAACTGAATAATATTCATATTGTCTCCACTTCGTTCTTTTTCTCATGCTTGTCCCTTTTATTGACCTATTTTATATAACATTCCGGGTTCTTGCTGACACCTTCCCCAACTTCTCTCTTGTAAAAAATGATATTTTTCAGGATGGGAGCCTGTTACCGCAACAGAATTGTCTTGAAATAAATTGGAGTAGCTCTTGGCTTTCTCACTCTTTGTCACCTGGTTGGTGATGCACTGTCTAGAGCAGCAAGACATTTCTGTTGACAATAGTGCCACCCAACAGTGTGAAATAAAACATGCTGGGCAAATCTAATGGGTTTTGTTTAGTTTTAAAAAGATGGCTTGTAAGCCATGCTTCAGAAATTTTTTATGTTGGAGGACTATCTGAAATATCAGATTTGTTGTGTCTTGGTGGGGAACCATTTTCTGTTTGTAAAATTGGACATAGTAAAATATCTGACTCTATTTCAACAGTTCAACTAGGTTTAACTAGGCAGTTATTCTTTTGTGTGCGTGTGTGTGTGTGTGTGTGTGTGTACATTTTTGTGCTTAAGGTATTTACGTGCCCAGGTAGTTAAAAGTTTCCTTTTCATTACAGTATGGAAAACCATATTAGGGGCCTATATTTACCCTAAACTAAAAAAGTATTTTGTGTTCAGGATGCCCTAACAGATTTTTGTGAATGTTGAAAAACCTTATTGGGGATTTACAAGTGGGAATATGCAAACTAGAATAGATTTCTCTTTGGAAGAAGCAGCGTCTGTCATTTACAATACTGGTACCACTGGGTTTCACATACCTCAATGTAAGTGGACCACTACCTTTGATATTAGACTGTCAAAAATATACTGTTTGCATTTAGGGAAATTAATCAAAACTTTCTGTGATATATCCCCTTGGATGTATATCTATGTGTACCTATTATAATTCAGTTTTATAAATCTCCAAGATTTAAAATATCAAATAGTTATCTATGAAAGTACACCAATATGTGCAGGATGGGTTTAGACTTCTCCAAAGTTTATCAATAAAAATAAATAAATAAAATTTAACAAGAAAATATGGAGGCCTGGTTACACATACCAACTGAGGATGAGTTCATAAAGTGAAGATAATCTCTTACCAGAGTAGTAAACCTTGGTAAACGAAGAACCAAGTAAGAGCAAGTGTACTCTGGTCTTAAGTATTTTGTGGAATAAATATACATTATACTCTGTTGAAATAATAGATATAAACAATACTTAAATTTTCAAAAAGCACAGCGTTGAGTTCCAACTCCTGCTTTTAAATATTAAAAGTTCAGCTAAAATATGCTACTCTTCTAAGACACTCAGAAATGGATAAAAACAGAAAATAAGAAAGCCAACTGGTTCCAGGTTCTAAAGAGATTATGTAAGATAAGAACTTGCCATTTTCAAGAGGAGAATAGAGGTTGGGTTTATAACTAAATCAAATTCCAATTCGGACAGCTCAGCAATATAGACTATGAAACTGGTGAGGGCGAGGGACAATGTGTAGGTTCCTTTCAAGTGGCCACAACCTTGAACTGATGCAGTTTGAACTATAGCCTAATGAAGGGTTTGCTAACCTCCGGAAGAGCCTCAGACTAAAGAATCACTTAATCCTAGCCCTGGTGATTTGTTCAAAAGTCACAGACTTTATTCTTACACTGCTTCAGTCTGCAGACTGGAGAAGTCCCTCCCTCAACACACTGGGGGTTTCCACTGCCGTGAATGGAAGGTCTGAGTGGGTAAAAAGCGATGAGCAGGGGGCTGGTACCCAGAGGAGGAAGATGTTGAACTGCCGTGGTAAAGGATGGAGACAGCACGTGTTCACAGCTTTGTGACGGGTGCAGTTATTGGTGTTGCCTTTCCCTTTTTCTATGTGCTGGGATTCTGGAGCACAGTTTCAAATTCTTGACTGTCTGATGGTTGACCTGGTAGCTTTTCTTCACGGCCTAAAAATGGAGTTGGGTAGAGGAAGACAGTAGAGATAAATCAGTGATTAGGATTCATTTTTAAACTATAAATCACTAAAAATATCAAGAATATTCACTACATAATATCTTAGTCACTGTTCTATAGCTGTGAAGAGACACTGTGACAAAGGTACCTTATGAAAGAAAGCATTTAATTGGGGGTTTGCTTATGGTTTTAGAGGGTGAGACCATGAGCTTGTTTGGGGGACAGTATTGCATCAAGGAGACAGGAATGGCACTGGAGAAGTCACAGAAGGAAGCAGAGTGGCAGTGTGGGGAGAAGCTGGGCATAGTAATCTTTGAAATCTCAAAGCTCCTGTATGGTACACCTCCTCCAGTAAAACCACACTTACTAATCCTTCCAAAAACAGTTCTACAAAATGGGAAGCTAACATTCAAACATGGGAGACAATGGTGGTGTGCTGGACAGTATCATGTATTCGACATAGGCTGGAGGCGTTTGAGAGCAGGGAATCTCAACTGAGAAAATGCCTTCATAAAGTCGGGCTGTAGGCAAGGCTGTAGAGCATTTTACTGATTGATGGGGAGGTCCCAGACCATTGTGGGTGATGCCATCCCTGGGCTGGTGGTACTGAGTTGTGGAATATATGAATATGTATATATACTTATATTAACATGTAAAGCTATGTTACATTTGTTTATGCTGTGGAATATTACTTTAACTGCATAAAGATCTGTTACATTTGCTTATGCTGCATTTGTTTAACGATGTAAGGATATGTGTTTAATTATGTAAAGCTGTGCCTACTTAAGGCACCTGACTGGTCCAATACAGAGCTAAATGGTCAATAGCTAGGCAGAAAAAGGATAGGCGGGGCTGGCAGGCAGAAAGAAGGAACAGGAGGAGGAACCTAGGTTCAGGAGAAGAACGAGAATGAGAGAGAGAGAGAGAGAGAGAGAGAGAGAGAGAGAGAGAGAGGAGAGAATGAGCAAGAAAATGAGGGATGTGCCTGGGGCAAGAAACCACACAGCTGTTTGCCCACCAGTCAGATACTGCAGGAAACAGAGAAGTAAGACGTACAGAAGGAAAGAAAAGTAAAAGCCCAGAGACAAAATGTAGATAAACAGATTAATTTAAGTCAAAAGAGCTAAGAAAAGGAGCCGCCTAAGCTAGGTTGAGCATTCATAACTAATAAGAAGTCTCTGTGTCATGATTTGGGAGTTGGTTGGTGGTCCAAAAGAAAAAGCCTGGTAGGGTTTTAGGTGTTGTAAGAAAGCAGACTGAACAAGCTATGAAAAGCCAGCCAGTAAGCAGCACTCCTCCATGGCCTCAGCATCAGCTCCTGGCTCCAGGTTTCTGCCCTGTTTGAGTTCCTGACTTGGCTTCCCTCAGTGGACTGTGATTCAGGATATGTGAGCCAAATAAACCCTTTTCTCCCCCAGGTGAATTTTAGTCGTGAAGTTTCATCACAGCAATAATATCGGTAACTAAGACAGGGAGGCATTCTCATTGAAACCACCACAGTGACAATGGCTTGGATTATGCGGGGCATCATCATTCATTCATGGTCTTCCACATGTGAAAAACACAAAACACAACAACAAGAAAACCCTGATATTAAGGAAGTCATTGATGAACGTGACAGGAAAAGCTGTAACATTTCCTGTTTCAATTGTTTATTTCAAAATGAAATAAAGAATTGAGTTTGGAAACATTTCAAGTACTTAACATTTGTTCCTATTAGTTCTAGATGATTCAAATTCTCTCCATGAAGGCAAAAAAAAAAAAAATCCAAGTAGCATTCATATTGTAACTATAACACCACAGCATTTAGCAATGCCTTTCCTGAGATGGAAGCCTTCAAAGCCTTTGGCTGACCAGTGGGAAACACCAATATCCCTTGTCGGAGGCAGAATTTAAGTCCCCCCTCCCCCAAGGTCAGTCTGGCACCACGTAGAACAGGCAGTGTCATTTGTCTGACCAGGTTTGGGGGTGCTGCTCCCCTGAACCCCTCCCTCAGAACTGTCACACTTCAGCTAGTACAGAATCATTTCTCCCAATCTCTGTTTTTAAGGATGCTGCTATTTTTGCTTCAGTCAATGCCACCAAATGCACAAAATAGATTTCCAACAAATTGTTCTGCCTACTCTTCACTGACCCACTGGCTGAAAGTCTTCTAGTGATGCGCCAGCAAGCACAGGGGCTACAGAATACACACAGACATGTAAGAGGCCACGGGGCAGAAGCAAAGTGCCTTCCTGCATTGTATAAAGTGTGAATTCCATCAGCATTTTAACCACTGCAGAATCAGTAGCAACAGTTTATCATGACTGAAATGTACGAAATGGTCCCTAATTGATGTGTTGTATTGACTTACATAGTTCTCCTTTCTTATTTAATCTTCATAAGACAGCATTCTATTCAGATATTTTGTGTTAAAAATTTGTTGAATTTAACATTTTCTTTGACCAATGAATCTATTTCCTCGATTGACTCTTCAATGCCCGAGATTCTCTTTTCTATCTCCTGCATTCTGTTGTTTATGTTTGCAACTGTAGTTTCTGATCATTTCTCCAGATTTTCCATTTCTAGAGTTCCCTCAGTTTGTGTTCCCCTTATAGCCTCTATTTCAGTATTTAAGTCTTGAACCTGATTAAGTCCTTCATCTGTTTGCTTTTCTTTTTGGTTTTCTTTAAGGGATTTGTTGATCTCTTCCAATTTTTCATTGGTCCTTTCTTCCATTTCTTTAAAGGAATTTTTTCATTTCCTCTTTAAGAGCTTCAATTGCCTGGTAAATTTATTTTTAATGACATTTTCTTCTGCTTCATCTATGTTGGGATGTTCAGATGTTCAGGTCTTGTTGCTCTAGAACTACTGGTTTCTGATGGTGCTCTACTTCTAATTGTGTTGATGAGTATATTCTTACTCTACTGTCTACATGTCTTTTCCTCCAATTGGTTCAGGTGGAACCTGTTCTTCTGGATTTCCTCTTCCTCTAATTGGTGAAGCTGGGGTCTTTGACTCCCTTGAACGCTCCGGTCAGTTACAGGCAAGGTTGAGCGTTTCGGTAATGGCTCCTCCATGTGTATATAGGCCCAAAACTCAGATGTTCACAGCTCCCGGCGGTCACTCCTCCAGGTGCAGGTGGTGTCTCAGTTCCAGTGGTCGCTCCTCAAGGTGCAGGCAGAATTGGGGCTGAGGCTCTGGATAGTCTGGATAGTCGGATAGTCTCTGGACACCACTATTGTCACCACGGCCTGCTGACTGGTACTGATGCTGTCTCCCAGTGTGGTTCAGCCTGGGCCTGCTGCCTGGTGTTGACATTGTCAAACCTTTACTCTGTATTGCCTTGTGTCTCTCCTCAGAAAGAGTTCTTGCTTGTATTGTTTCATAAACATTAGCATTCTTGTTATTTCTGCTCCAGATTTCTACTTGATGGACTCATATTTGCTTTTATTGGTTCACCCTATGGGTTCTACTGTTCCCAGTGCCTGGGTCGGTGGTTTTGGCACAGGAGGTAGAGCAAGATTTCGGAAATGATGAAGTAAAAGGAACAGGTGTAAAGAGCAGATGGTAGGGTCAGTGAAGCAGATGGCAAATGCCAACTCCTATGTTCATATGTGGGGGTTTGTCATGGTTTCATAGTTGATGAATTCTTTGCCCTATCCTTGCCCAACAATGGAGTGCAGGAACAGGCGTTGTCTTGGGACTTTTCTTGGACTAGTAATGCAATGGTTTAAATAAAATGGTGCAGTGCCTCGAGGGTTGGCAGCGGGCGGGCCACTAGGGGGAGCTGGGTCCCATGAGGATCCGTGGTGGGTACCAGACAGAGATAGACAGGCACACCATGCAGAGTGAGTTTGGTTATAGTTTGTTCAGTAAAAGGGAAGATGAGGGAGAGAGAAAGAGAGAGAGAGAGAGAGAGAGAGAGAGAGAGAGAGAGAGAGAGAGAGAGATAGGGGTGGGGAGGAGAAGAGGCCTCAGTCACCTCTTCAGAAGAGAGACAGGGCAGAGAGAATGCAGGCTTAAAGAGGAAGAAAAATCTGCTTGCCTTGGTGGAAGGAGGGGAAGTGGGGGAGGGCACTTTAGAGACAAACCCCGCCCACACCCCCTTCCTCTGAGGCAAGGGGATCTTCCTGCACTCTGTACTGTCTCTCTTTGGAAGAGGTGGCAGCCTGTCCCCCCTTCCCCCCTCTGTTTCTCTCTCTCTCTGTTCTCTCTCATTCTCTTTTTCCCTCCCTCCCTTTTTCCCTCCCTCCTTCCTTTCCTCCCTTCCCTTCCCTCCCATAACCCACCAAATAGACTATACCCAAACCTCTTTCTGCATGGCATGCCTATTTGTCCCTGTCTCTCATCTGCCACAGCTCCCAGTGGGAGTGGCTGCCCTGTCTCTCACACACTGCCTCCCACCCACCTGGGACCCACAGAGGCCACGGGTGGTGTGACCTGGCTACCCATCGTGGTTCACCACTGCCGCCCCTTGGGGAACTGCGCCATTTTATCTAAACCATTACAGTTAATATATGAAAAAGTGTTAGTGTTTCTCTTGTTTTTTATTCATTAAAAATCAGAGTGAAAATCCAAATGTATACATGAAATCATGTTTTCAAACTAAAAATCTGTATAAGATGAATAAACACAGTACACTCTGAAAGAAGTGCCATCAAAGGACAAACCCTATAATTATATTGTATGTTTAGATTTCTTTCATGTAACTTTGGAATATTCATATATTTACATTTTTGGAAATGGGATCTAATCTAATGAGGATAAAAGACAATTTTAGTTTGGCAGGATTTAAAATTCACATGGGTATGGAAGATAAACCCTGTCCGACTTATATTCCATCTGCTTTTCTTTCTTATCTGTTTCCCATTCACAGTGACTTCATAATTTCAAACTTCTCAGATAACATACATTACCTCTGATTTGGAGAATATGAAGTTATATTTCATCTGGTAAGCAGTGAGACTGTATCTGACAGCTATTCTGATTTGATTATCTGGTCTTGACTTGAATGGCAACAAAAATTCTCAAAGATCTGCTTCCAGTTAAACAGATTTAATAAGCTTGAAAATCCTTAAGAATGACTGTAGTATAAATTAGTAAGTGTTGTAAATCTTTTCTGACTCCTTAAAGATCAAGGTAACTAAAACATCAACAAGAGCTCACGTGGGTCTTTTTGACTGTATTCGACGTAAAATCCACGAGTGACGTGACTTGGGTGTGCTTTTATTGTTCTTAAAATAGTCACATTTAATCTCAAGGGGCTGTCGTTGTGTACGCACCAGCTCTCTTTATGGGCATAGATACAAAGATCATATTCAAGCAAACAGAACTCTCCCACATTCTGTGTCAACAACAAAAGACACCTGGTGGTTTTGTTTACTGGTAAAATATGTAAGTGGATTTCTAATGAGCTGTGGGTAATATTGAAGTGACTTAATAAGGAGGGAACAGGGACTAGAAATACAAATGGCTGTATATGTCAACGTGTATATTTCCAAAGATAACTGAAGTAACAAAGCATGGGCAGCTTTCACAGTAAGCTCTCAGAAGTCTGACTGACACATACTACTTTCAAAATATCCCTGGGCAATTTTACTCAGGGCAAACATCATAAATCACCCAGGAGAATAGCTATGAGCCTGTAATACCAGGAATAGAAGAAACAATAGCATTAGCAGAACGCATGCTAGCGATTGATTAGAGAATCATGGATTTCCTCTACTACCAAAAGGACTTTTTGATAAAATTCTGAGAGTACCGAATCAGTAACTGAGGATAAATCTTTAGGCATAATGTCTATTCTATTCATTGTATTTATCCCAACCACACAGTCTATGCCAATCCATCCCTTGCCTGGATCACTGTATCTTTCATATATATATATATATATATATATATATATATATATATCCAACTTGTCTCTTTCCATCATAACCCTGTAATTCTCTATTGTCACAGAAGCTGAATTATCTTTATAGAACATAAATCAAATCATGCCACCTTTTTGCTTAAAAGCCGTCATCACGTCCATCATGTCCCATTGCAATAAAATCTAATTTCTTTAATAGGGTGTGGAGGCTTTCTGTACCCAGTCCCTACACATCTTTTTGACCTCACAGCCCACCACTGTCATTATCACTCATTGTTCCCACCTCTTAAGGTCTTCTTTCTGTTCTTCAAATACAAACGGCTCATACACTCTCACACTGGTCATTTCTTCCCTTATTATGTCCTTGGGGGCTGCTCCTTGGCACTCAGTTTCATCTCAGATGCTTTTTCCTTTGAGAACTCTGCATCTTAACTGACCACCTAGCTAGAGTCCATTCAAACAGTCTCCATTTAACTTTTCAAAGTACTGCTCCCAAAAGGATGTAGACTTCTTTTCTTGTTTAGTTATTAATTACCCCCTCTAAGCAGAATGCATCCCCATGAAGACAAAGTGTTTTGCTTCCTGGACAATGCCTGTCCACAATTGTGCTAAAAGACATGCGGTACTGAATCAAAATACTTTGGGGAAAAATATAATTTTAAAAATGTATGTATGTGTGTATTATTTCATTATTTAGTTAGTTTATCTCTTGCATGTCTAATTGTCTATATGTATATTATGATTGTGATGTACTCTCAGGAGCCAGAGAAAAGCATCAGAGAACTTGGAGCTAGAATTACAGGTGGTTGTGAGCTCCGTGATGTAGGTGTTAGGAACCAAATCTAGCTTCTCTGCAAAGTTGGGAAGTGCTCTTATTACTCAGCCCTCTCTGCAGTCCCTAAATATACCCAGAGAGAGAAAAAAACCTCACCATGTAGCTTTCTTTTGTCACAAGTGTCACTTAAAAAAAAAGACACGTCTCATGTCTTATTCAGCATTTCTTTTAAGCAAACAATAAACCAATATGACAAAATGGATGATCATCATCACCTATTGTCACTTTTCTGTGAACATTTGAACATCCTTTTCAGGACACATTTAAAGACAACATAGTACAAAATACCTAATGATAAATTTGCTCTTTTTCAGTGAATAGCTTGGAAAAAATAACTTTAGAGCATCCTACACTTGAGGAAGGAGAACCACAATTTCAAGCTACTTCTTAATGGTGGCTGATCACAGCTTTAGACTGCTCATCTCAAAGATGTGGCTTGTGGTGGTTTGAATAAGAATGGTCCCCACAGACTCATGTTGTTAAATGTTTAGCTCACAGGCACTGTTAGGAGATGTTGTCTTGGAGTAGATATGGCCTTGATTGAGGAAGTACATCACCGTGGGGGTGGACTTTGAGGACTTATATGCTCAAGCTAGGCCTAGTGTGGCAGTCTCTGCTTGCTGTCTGTGGATCCAGATGTAGATCTTTCAGCTCCTTCTCCAGCTCCATGTCTGCCTATGTGCCCCCATGATAATAATGACTCAACCTCTGAAACTGTAAACCAGTCCCAGTGAAATGTTTTCCTTTATGAGGGTTGCCGTGTTCATGGTGGGTGTCTTCACAGCAACAGAACACTGACTAGGATGTGGCTTTAATGTTAATTTCCTGGATGGTTGGTTCTTCAGAGACTTAGGGGTATGCGATAAAGGTGTTCCTAACACATAATAAACACTTCAAAAGAGACAAATTTTACTATTAACACATTTTTTTCTTGAAAATATATGTAAAACTTAATTTATCCTTTCTTGTTGTGAAGTGAAAGTTGGGAGAAGGTAAGAGTCAGATGTTTTTCAAAACCTTTGGGATGTCAAATTGTGTTAGCTGTCATTTTGCTGCTTCATTCTTCATGTGGAACACGTTTCCAATACTCTATATCTCTCTCATCTAAAGTATATGTAGCCAGGAATAGCACTGTACTGGGTGAAAACTACCAGTCAAGGGCATGAGTGGGCACTATAATCAACTCCCATTCCTACTTTGGCAAAAAGGATGAATTGCCTGAGTTTACAAAAATGCATCCTAAAGCCAGTATTTACCCCTGTTGTAGGACATTATTTCCCCAAATACCTTACATATGCAGGGACTATAGCTGAAAGACACATGGTAATGGGATAACTTGTTTATATTTTTGGACACCATTGCCTTTCATTTGATTAATCTCTTTGGGGTGTCTCTCCTGCCTGACAGTTTTATTTCAGCTGGCCCAGGAGCTACTTTTAGGCAGTGAGGTGCTTGCATGCAGGGAGGAGGGCGGGTCTCACCTATGACATGTGGTTTTGTTGTGGTTGCTGCTGCTGCTGCTGTTGCTGCTGCTGAATGAGCAATTGTTGCTGCTGCCGGCGCCGGGCTGTCCGCAGCTTTTCAAAACGAGCCTCCATCTCCTCCAGGACTTTTGGGGTGTATCTGACCACCAGCTTCACACTGTCCTTTGCAGCCTTGAGTAGCTCCACAGCTTTCTCGTGGTGCTCCCCTTCCACACTCTAAAAAGACAAGGGGAGAACTCATTTATTCCCTCTGGGGACTAATCTGAAATAACTATCTTAGTAAAAAGCCAAACTCGGTGGCAGGCATAAGGTCTTCTCTGTAAATTCCATTTCTTACAAGGCTGAGATAAGAGGGTTTCGGCGAGTTCAAAGTATGAGTCTGGACTGCATTGTAAGCTTCAGGTCAGCCTGGTTTACAATAGGAAAACCCTAGTTCAAAAATAAAAATCAAGGGCCTAGCGTTGTATCTCCGTTTGTAGGATGCATGCCTAGCATGCACGATGCTATGTAATCTGTCAGTATCATATCCAGTCATAGTTTGGGGGACATGCTAATCCCAAAGCAGAAACATCAGAAGCTCAAGTCACCCTTGGCTATATAGTGAGTTCAAGATCAACCTAGGGTACAGGATATCATATCTCAAACAAAACATCATCATCATCATCATCATAATAATGGAAACAAAAGTTCTCTCCTACAACAAAATCCTATAAAACTACCAACAAAACATCTGAAGTCTGCAACTTCCAGACCACATTGTAACCAAGACAACAGCATCACCATTATCATCTGTGCCTGTACCTGAACTTCAGGTTGGTTAGACTCTATTAAGATGCAGGGTGATTATGATAGTTTGAGTCAGGAGGGCGAAAGTCAGGGAAGACCTAATAATAAGCCAAATATTCAAAAAGAATTTCAGAATTTCACCTGGAAGGGTAAATGAATCAAAAATTTCTTTTTTTGAAAAAAAAAAACAATAAGTTAAAAATTGCAATAAAGTTAATCTTTCTCTACCAGATAATAATCCCCATTAGGCATCTACAGTGATTGAAGTACTGAAATTTAGACACAAGGCAAAGATTATTAGATAACGATGCCAAAACAAATAAATAATAAAATGTAATTGATATTCCGTTCTTGTGCTCTAAACGTAATGTCTTTATTAAGAAACTTAATGCTATGAATTTCAAAAGCTTAAAGTAGCCTGGGGGGGGGTTCTTTCTCATCTTGCAACGAAAGAGAGCGAGGACTGGAATCTCAAAATCAGATGCCAACAGTTTAAGTTTCTGCATTTCAAACCCTGCTCAAGAAGAGCAATAAAGCAGAGAATGCTGGCAATACAACAGTGAATTTATTGAGTTTTTCACAGGGGGCTCTCTTACAAGTCCATAAGCAGAGTGGATCAGTTATACATGTGCTTAAATAATAAAATACAGATGTCGCATAGACCCATGGGAAGGGAAGTGTTCCATCTTTTTATTAACCAAAGAAGTAGGGATCAACATCACATATTTTATTGTAAAATTTAAAACGGTAATTTTGCATATAGTATGTAAACAAGCATGTGGGGAAAGGGACTTTGATCAGTTTAGTGAACTCTAGCACAGTTTTTCTGGACGGTGCTCTTGTTACTAACTGAAGAAAACAGTCTATTATTATAATGAGTATTTATACTAAGCATTGCATTTGATATATACCTGCAAGTATGACATCACAAAAATAAAAAAAATGATTAGAGTTGGGGATTTTGAACATTACAACAACCTGGACAACATTTGGGAAAACGGATTATTTCAAGTGAACCAAGAGCTGCTGAAGATAACCCTGGTGAGATTCTCTAGGGTGGGAAAAAGATGTAAAAGGGAAGAAAGTGGCAGTTAGATTCGTGATGGTATAAAGGACACTGCCTGCTACTTCCCTAGAGCCAGCCAGCCAGCCAGCCAGCCAGCCAGCCAGCCAGCCAGCCAGACAGCCAGACAGCCAGCCAGCCAGACAGCCAGCCAGACAGCCAGCCAGCCAGCCAGCCAACAGGTAACCCTCACTTTTCCAAATTTAAGTGCAATTTTTTTTTGTCTCATTTGAACTAAGTACAGAGGGGAAAAATGATGACAAGTATAGATAGAGCCTGGGTGAGGCTTAAATATTATCAGAACATCTAAGCGTGGTGGAGACAAGGTGACCATTGGCAAGTTGAGATTTCTTTTCACACCACAAGCATAAGAAGAACTTGAGACACATATATATGACCTATGAAATGGAAAGAAACTATTAGATCCCAATTATATCTAAAGAAACTATAAGACTTCAATTATAACTTGGGATTAACAGTTACAGATATTTTAGAGAGTATATTTAATTCAGTCCCTTGCCTTCAGGAGATCGGTGTGGGAAGAAGGAAAATAAGCTTGAATTTAGCAATTTGATCAGTTGTCACTGCTGATGGTGGCGACATCTTGTTTGTTTGAGTGCCAAGCAGACAAGATGGGGTTATGATGTGGCCATAGTGAGCTGGAAAACAATTCATGTAGCTGTGGCCCTACGTGTGCATTAAACAAAAAGAGAGGCTTTACGCAGTCTTTAGGTAGAGAGGATTTTTATCTCAGGCTAAAGCCTAAGAAAATAAACATGATTGTTGATTAATTCATTCTTTGGGCAATTCATTCAATCATTGATAGTCGCCAATAAGAGTTTTATTAAGCATTCATCTTAGTGGTTGTATTTCACAAAATTTTCAAGGAAATAAAAGACAAGAGAAAATATTGACAACAGAAACCTCTTTTCAGTTTGTTTGTAATTACTTCGTAATTTGTCCTAAGATGATTTATTACGGTGTAGGCGGTTGATTTCAAATGAAAGCTTGATTTGTTTACCCAAACCCTTCTGTATTTTTCTGCATTAAAACTTAAATGGGCTTTTGTTTTATTGTTTGGTTTTACAGAGGTCTTATGTACCACAGGCTGGTCTAGATTATTATCTGCAGTAGAGGGTGACTGTCAACTTTGGCACTCCTGTCTCTCCTTCCAAGGGTAGGATCAAAGGTGTGTGCCACGGCACCAGATTTTCCTGTTTAACAACAGTGGTACACCCACTCCTGAGGGCAGCTGGTCAACTTCCACAACTTGCTTTTGCATTTTTGTGCGATTTGCTTTCATTTAGGAGGGTAGAAGATTCTGGGGGAGAGTCTCTTTATTCGTCTTTAAGCATGATGGTGCTCATTCAGAGGGTCACCAGAGGGCCTAGGCACTACTGCAGGGGCTACCAGGCACTCATGACAGAGGAGGTAGCAGAGAAAAAGCTGAATCCCAAACTTCATACTCGGGTCCTGGGAACTACTGCCACCATCTCCAATGCCTGGCTCTGACATCTCTCGGGAGAACTCACAAAGAGCAATTCCCATGCTCTTCAGATTTAGAAACCTGACCTAGATTGTGACCACGATTCTTCTTCAGGGGCTTACCAGCATCAGTAAGTCCTTTCATCCTCTTCCACACCAGGGCACAAAACTGCCCTAGAAGCCGAGGCCTGCACTCTCTTATTTCTGCTACATGGAAACACTTAAAAGGCTGAAAGTTTGACAGTTCAGTCATAGAATGAAAATGAAAGTGGACTGCAGAGGTTAAGAAATATAAGCCTGTTTGCAGTTCATTTCAAATACTCTGATGCTGCTGTTTTCATCAAAAGTCTTCACGTTTGTCTTCAGGATCACTCAGGGCACCACACTTGTTCCTCTGTCTCTGTCTGTTGCACTTTGACAGACATATGTTTGTCTTGACTTGCCATGTGTTTATCCCCAGAATGCTTTTAGTTCCTCAGTAAACTGTTTAAATGGTAGCAGATAGGTTGACAAGCCTCCTCTCTTTTTCTTTTCTTTTTTGAGTTAGAACAAAGAAATGGATCACAAGCCTATAGAAGTCTAGTTTTGTGAGTTAAAAGAGGCCAGAACACTTGCTCAGTTAGGGAATATACCTTAATGTGCACTGGGAGTAGGCATGTCTTCGGCCCTGAAGGTTTAGCATCCTTCACCCTTTGTATTTTATCTATTTCTTACTCTTGCTGGATGTATCCCTTGTTTCTTATTAATTATTTAAAATATGTTTTAAACTGGGATACATTATAAAGTTTATTTTTAAAACAAAACTGTCTTTAAAAAGCTCTTTTAATTTATTTGTTGTTTTCTTTTTACAACAGTTGCCTGAGATTCGACTAGTGCTGGAAACGTTTGACAAGAGCTTTCTTGTCAAAGAAACACTGGTAGGGGCTGTGTTTCTTACATGTATTGAGGAGAGTTGGAAAGGCTTCCAATGTTGAAATGAAATATTTTCTCCTTTTAAAAACCAGAATCATATACTTTTGGTTTTTCATTCCCTTGCTTTAAGGGTTTTATTGCATCTCTTACAATTTGAAAGAGTTTTTAGAAAAAAAATTAATTCAATGCAAGTCTTCCCAGTGGACATCTAGGAAGAGGGTTTTTAGATGTGAATGGTGATGGAGAAGGCATGTATGTATACCAGACATTCAGGAAAGGTTTGAGAACAGTGTAGTCCTAAAACAGAAAAACACTCAAGGGCTGTGAACATTCACCATAGTGAATCAAGCCTACTGCGAAGAGTGGTCTCCCCAATCCTGAAAACATTCACGTCTGTGTTCAAATATTTAACACTTATAAAAATCAATATGGACAAGTTAAAACAACTTTATAACTACTCTTTGAAATTCAGGAGGAAGGGCAATAAAATCCTTAATCTGTGGAACCGCGAGTGCTGGGTTTCCTGGAAGGTAAATGTATAAAGAAATGTTTCCATTCCGGAGCCTGAGAAAGAAATGAGCTCAACAAATAACCCACTGTACACTTGCTTTGTTAGCGATCATGTGCAGTAGAAAGTACCAGAACACTTTAGACTTTCCTGATTTATTGGAAACTTAGCAAAGTTGTGGTTGCTAAATGAACCAGCCCTTAAACTCGGGTACATTCTGACCTTTCAATACCTTAGCTATTTCACACAGAGAGATATCAAAATACTATTTCTCGTAAGGTCTATTTCCTAAGTGATTGAGAATTCCTCTAAAAAAAAGGATTTGGATTGTGCTGCCTACTTGAACTTGCACACTGTATGTGCCTCCGTTTGCGGCACAGTTACATTTTGACCTTGGTTAGATAGCACAGAAAGGAGCCCCCAGTTCTGGGAAGGAATACTACACATTATATGTATGCACTA